CTACAGCAAGTGCTAGGAATGTGCTTTCGCCCAATCAGACTAATAAAGGCCCTTGACCTATCAATTTCTAGGCATTTCCTTTAAGAGTTCCTATTGTACCAGACTCCAGACGGAGAATGAGAGGAAAGGGGGAGATACAGCGCCAGGTTTATTTGTCATTACTGAATGGCTTACTGGTTTTAACAGAGGGGAAAAGCTTTGTTTAAATTTCCACTGAAAGTAATTAATGGTTATTGACTGGCAAATGAAGAACAGGTGACACTCTGAATTAGAAGATAAATGATCTCATGTTCTAGCGTGATAATGGGTTAGTAATTGCTACAAAGCCTCAGCCTAGTGCGTCCCATCATAATGCTAGATCATGTCCAGAACACAAAGGCCTCTGTGTGAGAAGTATTCAGCCATTCACCTCCCGATACAGCTGTGGAGTGATTTGCTCCATTTATTCTCTGATGGACTGCACAACTGAGGCAAAAGTTCACCCATTCTCACCTTCCTGTTCACATGCTGAACCACATGACCCATGACATGGCTGAACTGGGATAAAAACATTGCCCAGTGTTGGCTTTTGGCTATCTTTTAACCATCGCAGGGTCATATATTTTAGGAATTTTTCTGGAGCTGGAATGGAGAATCACTGATTTTCCTGTATTCCTTTGAAAAGGCTTTTTTGGATGGGCTGACAGCAAGTAAAGAAATTGTGTTCTGTTCTGCCACCCTCTCCTTAATTTTTTGTGTGATCCAGTTGACAAAATGTGGGCAAATGTTGAAAAGGAGGAGAAAACTACTATGGAAACAATTTAGTCTTCATCTCTCAGAATATCACTCTTCCTTTAATGGCAAATGTAACAAAACACATTTTTCATATTTGAACTCCTTTTGGCTCTGGTCTAGTGACTCACAAAATCTAAAGGCAATACTATGTCATTTACATTTAAAGACAGAAACCTAGCCGGAGAGAGATACGTAGCAAGTTTAGCAAACAGACACACTTTTATGATTATGTGAACTAGGATATCTGTTCTGCATGCCTGCACTACAGCCTCTGCCAAAATCTTTCCTCTTTCATCTTTCTCCTCTTCCCTTTTCTGTATATAAACCCCTGCCAGTAGTACACACTGTTTTCAAGCAACATATCCAAAACATGAACCAGTCTTCTCCCTGCCCAAATTTCTTTGCTTATGTAGTGTTTGCACCTGGGATAGTGAATGAGAAAACCCATGCTGGTCTAACACAACCACTGTATAGGTACGTTCTGTGCATACCACTGCCACTGTGGTTAGGATGTGTCTGCTTGTCCTGAGCATCTGGAGTATGTTGTAGACGTGTTTCACCATTAACTTCCAGTCCAGCATCTCAGTGAAAAAACATTTATTAACTGGGCTGTCATCCATGGATAACAAAGACTCAGTAGTTGAGGTTATGTTTAACTCTATATATTTGATACTTTCACTGTCTGCTCTAGCACTGTATGTTGTTAAAATAGGCTCAGAATCAGGTATCTGCCCATTTAAGAGAAAAAAGAAATACAAATCCAGCTTTCTGAGACATTAAAGCATGACCAAGGATTTCTGCTCTAGAAATAAAAGATGATTTTTCAGGAGAATGAGTAGAGCCTCTTCTTATGTCTCATCTGACACAAGACCCAGAGCAGATATGACTGAATAGACACACAATGTGATAAATGGAAAATGTTCCTGTTGGTACTAATTACTCTTGCCCTGCACTGCTACACAGCATTTTTGCCAAGCTCCACACTGTAAAAAAATATTCCATACATATTTCTAGATATTATGCAAACAACTTCTGACTTCTTTGTATTTGTGCTACACATACACACACACACACACACACACACACACACATCAAACCAAATCAGTAACGTTTACTTTAGAAGATAGAACAGGTAGTTGTAGCCTGATACAGGGTGTATTGTCCATGTGCTTCAGAGGCAAAGAA